ACGGTACGAAAAGTGCAAAAACGCATAATCGCACCGGCCCCCCTGGTGCGTTCCAGCCTGGGTTTGCAGCTATGCAATGCAGAAACGCATATTGACGAGAGATTGGCGCAGTGTGTGTGTGTATGTTTGTGTGTGCGCTGGGCCTCTGTACCGATTTTTCATCTCGACACCTAAAAAAGCTACAGAACTGAAACTTCGGGAACTTAATCCACATGCATGTACGGCCCCCTCCCCATCCCAAAATGGGCGGCCTTACCCGCGTGGTACTCACGTACGGGCGCATGAAAGTTTTTTGCGGATAAGCCGCTAACTGGCGAACCAGAAAAGCTAGAAAGCTGAAATTTTAAGGGGATGTTCCCTGTCCACGTAAGTCTTAAACAGCTCAAACCCAGCCCTCGGGTATGCGTGCTACCCACATACGGGCCCGCCAAAATTTTTTTGGGTAAGTTGCTAACTCGAGGATTCAAAAAGCTAGAAGACTGTAATTTTGAGAAGATATCCCCCGCCCACCTAAATCTCATCGAGCTCAAACCCAGACTTCGGGTATGCGTGTTACCCACCTACTGGCCCATCAAAATTTTTTTTTTTTTGGGTAAGTTATTAGCTCGAGAACCTGAGAGGCTAGAAGACTGGAATTTTGAAGGGATGTTTCCTGACAGTCCTGGCGGCCAGTCTGAAATTCTTTTAGCTAGGAACATCTGTCGGAAAAAAAACAGTGCCGTTAGCGACAAATCTCTTCGGAGAACCATGCAAAAAACGCATCTTCGCACAGTGGCCCGTGCGTTGGCCAATTGTTCATAATTGTCACAGCTTTTCACCTCATCACCAGACAGGCTATAAAATCTAGGTTTAAATCTGGGTTTTAGTTACGTATTGGTTCAGCGGACATGCGATTCGCTTTCTTGTTCCCCATAAATACTAGATACAAAAGCATACGATTTTGATCCTCTGCGGCGGTATGGCTAATTTCCAGTTTCAGGCTCCGTTTCAACAGAAAACTTCTACTGCACCGGAAGGATATTTTCGCTTTGGTCTTTTTTGGGCATATTTGTATATTTTATTCAATAAATTTGCTGAGATATTATTATTTATTCAAAAGTATCTTATGCTTTCAGTGCTAAGTTCTGGGACATTTTTTATCGGCATCGTTTTTACATTTAGTAATTATTTTTGACGCTTAGTAATGGTTTTTATAGGATAATTGAAGAAGAGGATGTGGGTGTTGAACGCTCGGCTCAGATCTTCCGCAATTTCTTGTATAAATATCGTGATTCGCTGTCAGCTTCAGTTCTGGTTGCTGGATACGATGAATTGGAGGGGGGACAGGTAGCAACCATTCTAGCGGATATTGTTTCGTAACGAGTTCTTCTTTTGGATGTTCATGCAGTGCATAAATTACTCTTAATCCTATCTTTTAGCTATATGCGATTCCACTCGGTGGTTTTGTAACCCGTCAACGATGCACAGCGAGCGGGAGTGGCAGCACATTTGTGCAGGGCTTCCTCGACAGTCAGTGGAAGGTGATTTTTGCCTTTGCAGCGTACACAATTTGTTAGGATCTTTAGTCTGATTGGATTTCGTGTCCAAATGACACCAGAAAGTTAAGGGGCTACAGGAATGTTTTTGCGGTCCTCTTTATAGGCGGATATATAAAGTTATTTTAATCCATCTGTTCAGCTTCATTATTTTTGTATTTAATTATTTGATATCATTTCTTAGTCGTAATAAAAACTAACCGTGTTAAATTGTAGCCTGGAATGAGTGTCGAGAAATGCAAAGAAGTGGTACTGAATGCGGTAGCACTAGCGACAGTTCGTGACGGGTCGTCCGGAGGTGTAATCCGGCTTGCTGTTATCGATAAAAATGGCACTCATAGAACGGTTTGTTTTTCATTTTTTGCATAACGAAAAAGATTTTACTGTGATGTTCAGTCTCTCACATACCTTCCGCTGCTAGTTATGGTATTAGTCACACATCGTTGTATGTGGATTTCCTCACTATCTGTAAACGATTCCAACTAGCAAACTCAAAGACAGCCTTGCAGTTGCTCCCGTTTTAATTACCTCATATGGACCTATATTGCAGTTACCTTCGGCTATAGCGTTTAACCAATACTTGCCATAAATCAAATTTTGAATTTTATTAAAAATCCTTATTTATATAGCTTAAATGGAATTAAAAACATAAATACTGGAGCTGCATTAGAACGAGCACTAGATGTGACGGAGAGGGAGTTGGAACAAAAAGTTTTTGGCGTGTAATTCCACGATCACAAAAAAACCCTCCCACACTGTTCGATATGTAAACGGCGTACAAGTGTCATTGCGACCAATCAAGAAAGTTAAAAAAAAAATCCTCTGAACAGGGCATGTTGCTCGCCTTGTCGACAACTGGTTTGCACCGTTTACTAGCAAATGGTATACGCGCGAAGATAAATAAAAATCGATTAGCGCACATAAATCAGGTAGGTGATAGAAACTAGCAGAAAATACACAGTCCAGAGTCAAAGGACCAGGTGTATGTACACGGGGCATGCACAGACGCTCCGGTAAAATCATTAGCATAAAATTACCGATTGTCCGAGCGGCCTTGTTGTATTCCTTGTACTCTCTTGTTTCATCTCTTAATGCCTTGTTATATATGTGCCTATTACTTGCAGCTTATTCGACCGGATGGCGCTTTGTTCCCGAAATTTGCTGACATTCCAGCTCATCTGACGTATCCAAAACATGTGCTGCAATGAGCACATTGAACTTCACCTTTTTTTCTTTCTTTTTGTTATACAATTTTTTAATTCATTTTATAAACAAATTATTTCTTTTGCAAAATTGTTTGAGCGTTTCGCACATCTGTTAACCCGCACTTTCTCTTCACTTGCGGCGTTCCTTTTGTGAAGCTTTTAGCGCGTTATTTTGCAGAAT